ATACTGGGATGAGTGCTGGATAGATATTCAAACAAAGCTCGACTTGGACTGCCTTCGAGGGTTCTGTACTCCACAGAGAACTGCTCTATTACGTCCTCAGTCAGGCCGATGTGACGTCCCAGTTGACGCCATGTGCCTTGTCCCTTGACAGACACATCCAGCATACGACCCGCTACATACTTCGTATCGTAATGAAGGTCTTTGAAGAGAGTTTTCTTCTCTTTTAAGAAAGAAGTATCTTGATCTATAAAGCAACACGAGGTAATTTATTAAGCTTTGGCTATTTTATCGCAGCATGGGGCAGCCAGAACAGAGCCAGGATCTAACTCGGTGAAAATCCAAAGATATTCTCACCTCTGGAGTCTTGGGTTCGATTCCTGGACTCGGCGGTTCGTTATTTGTTTTCCTTGATTTAATGGTCCTCCCACCCCCCATCCCCCGAGTTTTCCAGTTATATTCCCTCTGCAAAACCCAACACGCTAAGTTCTAATTTGTCCTGTGAGTTAGCCGTGCCTTTGATTTTGATCAACCCCAAAGCTGTTTCAAGCAGGGTTATAGATACATTTGAAGTCTGATGGATTTAGAGGGGTTCCGTCTAGGTCGTGATCTATATCTTGGGGGTACAGGGCATTCCTYTCCAGCTTCTTACCAGCCCCCCACCCTTCACCGGATAGTYGTACTTTACTTCAACGCGCTTTCGGCAAGTGCAAAATACTAGAAGGTAAACAATTCTGAATGACAAAATATATTTCACATCCAGCCCTTAAATAACTCACCTTGCTCATGAACATCAACAACGACGCACAAATCTTCCTAAAAAATGAATAAAAGAAACACATAAGCATATGAACATCGCGATTCTCCTAAAAGTTACCGCACGTGATTGGCTCATAGCATTTGATTGACTGCGAAATAGCACTTGYTTGGTATCCACGCCTGGCTTGTGAATGCAAAGGTTCAAATAGGAATGTCAACATCTCTGACAGAAAAGTTAATTTTCTCCTCTTTTACAACTTTTATGACCCAAATTATTTCCTGACGATGTGGTACAAGGATAATGGATATTACAAGCTATATATCTTGCACTTTATGCTACAGGTAAGTGAAAAATATTGTACGAATGGTTTTTCTTTACATGTAAGGCTACGCCGGTGACTTCGAAGAAAATTTGATTAAATTAAATTGCAAAGAACTTGTATAATCAATTATTATATATTATGGTTTGCGTTAAAATATTCTATACACTAAATAATAACCTTTTTAGGAAAAAATAAGCTGACTTCGGTTTCGTAAACTCGAAAAGCTTTACTGAATACTTGAGCGTGGCACATGGTAACTAGAAATGTTTTACAATCCATTATAGGATGTAAGGAATGAAGTATAACAAGAAAGGAAATAAAAATACTGTTAACAGTTCAAGCAATAAGATTCTTTTAAACTTCATGTAATTTTTTATTTATTACTGACATAGTAGAATGTTGATGAAAACAAAGTTTTCAAAAACGTCGGGCGTCCATTTTCTCAAACTTTCCAAACATCGTTGCTAGGGAGACGACAGTGTTAGGTCGTGAGAATCTCAAGCAAATCAGGATCGCAATCCTTGCTTTTTCCTTTATTTTTGAATATGAATTTTCACGACTATGGCCAATACGGAATGTGTTTTCTCCCAACTAGCCGCCAATATAAACCGTATTGGTGGCTCAAAATCGTAATGAGTTATAAAAGAATGACATTAAGATATGAAGAATGAAGAGACTAAGAGAGGAAGTCAAATTCAAAGACATACCTCTGGCACAAAAGTGAACGCTGGTATGATGATTTCACTTTCTGCAACGTTGATTTTGAATTTACAGCTGAATTTCTCAGCACGTCTTTTAACGCGACGAAACRCGGCTTGAAAGCTTGGTATGSAGAAGTAYGACTCCTTGCAAAYMGARCTGGARATGGCCTGAAAATACAAACTATAATTCTTAACAAACGTTTGTCAAAAAATATTTCATTTTAACTACATTCCTTAGGCTGATTTAGAGAATGCAGCCTTTAGAAATGAGATTGCGGTGTTACAGACTAAGATCATGCGCAGACACCTTCCCATCTCATGACTATCTCTCGAAGATCCCAAGAGACTTTGTAGCCAAATGTTTTTTAAAGCACGTAAGTAATACATTACCTTTGGGCTTAGGCGATCCAGTTCCCAGCCATCCAACAAACCCTCGACATTTAGGTTGATGTCAACTGAACTGTGACAGTCAACAAATGCAGCGTAGAAAGAACCAAGCATGGTAAAGCCCTTTAGGGAATTTTCTTTCAAAACGTTCTGAAAACAGCAATATCAGAATGACTTAGCTTTCTCCTTTCGTTCCTTGAGTCTTTCGTTGCGCACATCGAGCACATCGAGCTTGTACACACAAGACAAAAAGATCCCACATACCTGAAATGAAGTTTCGTCATCATCAAGAAGATGGATACACACTTCAAACAGGTCACTTATCATCTCACTCGTGGTAAACAACACGAACTGCATTCTCTTTTTCGCTCCTTTCAGTGGCTTTCCAACAACAGCATAGGTAAGCAGTGTATCAGTATGAAAGCTTACATCTTTCCAATTCAATTCTAAACCATCGGTTATTCTTTCCCATTTTGCTTCTTTTATCCTCTTTCTTTCATCCATGCAGAGGACATCAATGTCCCAGTTTTTGTGTTCGGAATTCCAGAGAGCGCTGTGAGGCAGACTTATCCTCACTGGTTTTTCGAATTTCTCTCCTTTAGAATAAAACCTATATATTGGACTTAGAAATAATTGCCCTTGCTTGATGCTTTTAAAATTACTATCCAAATGTTTGTCGCTCAAAGGTTCGACTATCAGGTTCTTGTATCGATCTTGTTTGCAGTCTGGATCGTATTTGATGACAGCACCGCATTTGAATGAATAATTATTACTCTCGACGTCATTGTTCGACCAATCTTCTAGCTCATCTGATTGGTCACTTTTACACCTATCAGGAATGTCTATTCTTTTCGATAGCCTCGTATGTGGAATTTGAAAGCA